GGGCATTGCCCACACCGCCTGCACCACGGGCGCTTAGCTAGTCAACAATTACACAGCATACCATTCAGCGACATGGGGGTATTCCACTCATCTTTGACTCCAACTGGGAATCATGGCCCTTCAGGCGTCCACCCTTTTGAGTAAGTTATGCTTAGTGATCTATTGAATCTATTCTTTAAAACCCCATATGCAAGAATTAAATGAACAAACAGTGAGACATACCTCTGCTCGATGTCATGATAATGATCGGCCTCGTCTAGTATCTCCTCCTGAACAGATAAAAGACAACATTTGCTTTGATTTAGTGAAATGCTGAAAGAGGCAGCATACATCAATAGCAATGCCTAAAGTCCCTTCTTTGCCCCTTACTGCCACTCACTCCCAACAGATCTCAAAGCTAGTGCACAGGGGAAGATTGTACCAGTCGAGAAAAGTTGCCGATGGCGTAGAGCGTGCACCATCCGTCTCCCACATATGTGGGGTCCTTGCCCTGATCAACATAACTTCTACGTGAACCTGTTTATCCATGACTCCTGGAGGAATGTGATGCTCTCCAGCAAGGGACTGCTGAGACTCACTCAGGGTGGGTGGTCTGGCCCGTGTTCAATAAGCTTGGGGTGGTCCTTCGGAAGTATGAAAAAAAGCACGGAACACAACGCAAACCATCACCTTGCAATGCAGTTGATGGGACAGGGGAATGGGTCGCAGCATGGCATCGTAATCCAGTCTGTTTGTGTTTTGTAATGTCGAGATTTCAAAACCACAGTGAGTATTGAAGCACTAATCTTCCCCCCCTCTTCCCCCACCTTCATCCGTCAATCCTGCTTTTCAATATCAAATGGTCATTTGGTCATTTATGTTCCGTGCTTCTTGAAAAGCAGGATCTATGGACGAAGAGAGGGAGCAAAGTCATTCCAGATTCAAAGATGTACAATCTGTTCAGGTGTTTGAATCTAAATCACTTCCCTCTTCCTCGCTTCGTGCATCCATAGGACTCCTTAATCTCAAATGGTCATTAAATCGCTTACGTTTGTTGACCTTTAGAGATCAGAGGGTGAACCCATGTAATTCCATGCACCAAGAAAACCAGAAAGATGATCAGTGGTATTTTCAATCCTGTCTTACCAAACAGCCAACAAAAATCTCTCTTCTGAATCCATTCATCACCTCACGAACCATTTTCCCTGGTCCTCTCTCTCTCTCTCTCTCTCTCTCTCTCTCTCTCTCTCTCTCTCTCTCTCTCTCTCTCTCTCTCTCTCTCTCTCT